GGTTCCACTTGAAACCGGGAGTACCGCACAAGCCTACTTGCCACCATCCTGGCCATGCCGCTTAAAACTTCAGTTTGAGACTGACAATTAAAAGTTTGTATTGAGCTCCATACCTGTTTATCGTTTGAAAACTACTTTCTGTTTGCCATAAAGCCAATTTGAACCCAGGTACAATACCGCTGCCACAGTTCCATGCACATGATCCCCGTCGCCTGCAGAGAAAAGATGAGGTTTATGGGAAAACTGTTTCCACCAGTACCCGGCACCCAGGACAGTGCAATCCAATACAAATTGATAGCAGGTGCTCAATATACTACAAACCTGTACGGGTGACACATCTCCTCATAGGTACATGTATGTCAGTGCTATGTAATGCTTTAGAAAATGACTAAGGCTGTTTTCTGGATTTTCAACAACTTTCACTAGAACGTTCAGGAATGTTCTTAAATATGTGTCAATCAGGTATTTTGTGCTTTGTCTTAGCTGCTTGTAATCAACAGCAAAAGATCCACAGCATCTGAAATTGGACTAAAGTAGGAAGAGTAAAAAGTACAAAATGAAACATCTGCATCAATAAAGATACTGCCTTCAGTATCAAGAATGTGCTGATGCACGCAAAAACTACGCATCCAGAGACAAGCTTATTATTTCATCAAGAAACTTTATTCCATCAAAATTCATATTTAAACATTACCAACCCCCCAAGAACCACTGTTCTTATAGAAAAGATTAATTCTACACATGGTGTACCCACTAACCTTCCCTCTGCCAGAACCTCTGTTCTTATCGAAGAGATTGATTATACACATAGTGTACCAACAAACCTCCTCTCTGCCAGAACCACTGTTCTTATTGAAGAGGTTGATTCTACACATGGTGTACCCAGAAACCTTTTCTGAGCCAGAACCACCATTTTTATAGAAGAGATGATTCTACACATGGTGTACCCAGAAACCTTCTCTGAGCCAGAACCTCCGTTCTTATCGAAGAGATTGATTCTACACATGGTGTACCCACTAACCTTCCCTCTGCCAGAACCTCCGTTCTTATCGAAGAGATTGATTCTACACATGGTGTACCCACCAACCTTCTCTCTGCCAGAACCTCCGTTCTTATCGAAGAGATTGATTCTACACATGGTGTACCCACCAACCTTCTCTCTGCCAGAACCTCCGTTCTTATCGAAGAGATTGATTATACACATGGTGTACCCACCAACCTCCTCTCTGCCAGAACCACTGTTCTTATTGAAGAGGTTGATTC